GAGAGAGAGAGAGAGAGAGAGAGAAGGAGGGAGGGAGGGGGAGGGAGAGAGAGAGAGACAGTAGGTCAGACAGACAGACATACAGACAACCAGACAGACAGTGAAAGGGAGAGGAAGAGTCAGAGTATAGGCAAACTTGATTTTGTTTTTATCTTTACCCCATTTATAATTTCATTGCGTAATTAGTTTTTCTTTTCTTGGAACTGAAAATCTACGACATAGAGTATAATAGTAGAGCAATTGAGGTAATCTGTTCTGCAGTCGGCTTTTACGCTCTCTGTTGGAGCCAGGTCGCCTGTGCATGGAGAACTGTAAGCAATTTTTTCCGATACTGTTAGGGCATTTAACTTTACTTAATTGTTTTCTGAGTATATTATCATTCCCAAGTTTCAGTTTGCCAGGATAATAACCTGTTTTAGTAAGAATGTTACGGCACTTGCAACACAATTAGGCCACCCAGGCAAAATTCAAAATTTCCTACCAACTGAAAAAGAATGTGTTCAGAGCGCTCATATGACATTAAGCTGATGCGAGCACCGTAAAGCACTTACCAAAAAAAAAGGGTCATATAGATCTAAGTGCCGCAGATTAGATGTGTTACAAACGAGCAACAAACTAAAAAAAAAAGGAGTAGGGGAGATAAAACGATAGACGTTTGATAGGAACGAAGAAGCAAACCACACCAACCACAGCACCCACCAACCACCCACACTGGCATGTCTGTTGTAACATTTATTTATTTCGTTAAATTATGTTCAAGAGTTGCACGCGGGTGGCATGAGTTTGACCCCCACATGGGGACGTCTTAAAATCGAGCATCTCACGCCTGTATGCCTTCGTATGCGTTTGTTAGTCCGAGATAGTCCTGACGGCCAGGGTGGGAGTATTTCTTCTCCTGGTTGTTTTTTTAGTTTTAGTAAGAGTTTTACGGCACTTGCAACACAATAAGGTCATACTATAGGTGCCGAAGATTAGAGGTGTAACAAGAGAGTAAGACTCCCCCCAAAAGAAGGGGGGGGGGTAGAGACGATAGACGTTTGATAGGAAAGAAGAAGCAAACCACACCAGAGCACCCCCCAACCACCCGCTCCTGGTTGTGTAGAATCGAGAATAAAACAAGGTCACGCGTATTGAATTAGAGAATGCACTAACCCAGCTAACGGTGTGCCCTAATATGGTCTTAATCTCAGGCGAATGACGTATAGCTGAACACAGAAAAAGTATGTGTAGTACATTCATAGTCATGCATGAAGGCGATTATCTGCAGCATATTATGTTACTCTTCACAATAAATTGTCTGAAAGTTTCCCTGAAATCTCGCTACCCTAGAACTAGAATTGCAACGTTTTACCAGGGTGTCTCATTTTTGACGCACCATGTCATCGGGAATTTCCACAGGTCAGGTTTTTGTTTTCCTTCTCAATAATAATAAAACTATCTGCCTACTTTGGTGCCATCGTATAGGCGTAGTGTATTTTCCCCATGGTGCGTCTAGCAAGAGACACCCTGTATCTGCTACGTGCGCATAGTCTTGAGACATTTGTCGTTAAAAATTTTGAGTTTCACGACATGGTTTAACTTTTTCGAATGAAATTCTTAGAATATTTTAATAACGACTTAAAATAATATCTTGCTTACGATTTTGATAGAGCAGATAGAACTTTTGGATTCTGATCTCATGGCCTTAGAGAAACTCAAAACAGCCAAATGTATCAGGTAGAACTTTGTGATTCTGAGGTAGTGATCTGTCTGGCTTAACCTTGTCGCCTCTGGCATTTACGAGTGAGTGTATGGCGTGTCTGCGGAGGCAACAATGCTGAGTCACACAAAACAAAAAGCCCCCATCCCCCCCCGGCCGAAAAAACAAAACAAGACAAAACAAAAACACCAGAAAAGCAACCAAAAATCCCCCAACCAAAAACAAAACAAAAAACAAACTTTCAACAATGACAGAGGCTAGATTATGTTGCTTGGCAGTGTATTAATCTAATCTCTTTGATGGCAGATTTTAAATTTAACAGGGAATAATCCGTTTATGGAACACAGACATAGAACATCAAAGAATCAAGTGGTTCGGTTCTCTGATGGGGATGTCACCAAATAAACACGCGCACCACTCGAAAGAGTCAGAATACAAGGGCAGGGCAGACCACACAAAGTTTGGCTGAATGGCGTTAAAGAGGTCATTAAAGAGAATAAAATGTAAAGTTGTTCCCGCATCCTATCCGGACATTGGGGATTGCCTTGTTAGTGAGACAAACTTCCTGGGCCTTCGGCATATTGTGGTAGGGTGGCCTGTTCCTTTCTACGCCGCCTTTACTTCCCCAAGTCGAAGCCAAGTACCCATTACTGCTGGGTGGGCAGGAGGGGGTGAAAGAAATCCGTGTCCGAACTGAGGCTCGAACCCAGACTTTCCGCTTCGGAGACGAGTGCACTAACAGCTCCGCCACCGCACTCTCAAAACAAACAAAAAATGGAAAAAGAATAACATATCAATATTATAAAAGAAGCTACCCATCGAGCGTTTGGTCGAAAATTGCACCCCCCCCCCTTCCCTCGACAACTACAGATACTACAGGAAGGCTAAGTAAACTAAGGATGACATCATCCTAATAATTACGGATATACCAGTCTTCTCTTCGGACTCAGAGATAGCGGCATTTTCTTTGTTTGTTTTAGTAAGGTTTTACGGCGCT